TCATCTCTCTCTCCTCTCTCTCTCTCTCTCTCCTCTCTGTCTCTCGTTTATCCGTCTCTCTTCTCTCGCAGGAGGATCCGGGCAAAGAGCCACATATAAAGGACTCTTCACTTGGGAGTGTAGCTCCATTGGTCGGTCGGAGCCGCATCACCTCCAACTTGAGATCCTTGAAGTGGAAGACGACGGACAGCAGATCGCACCTAAGACGACCGTTGGTCCGGGTTGAGGTGCACACGAGGTGGCTGAAACTGTTTTCTCCCACCTTCCCTCCCTCCTCCCTCTTCGCAAGTTCGACTCCGTCCTGTCGTCGCTCTTTGGCATGCGGTTAGCGTTGCGTATCTTGCGGCCGCACTCGCTCACTCTCACTCTCACTCTCATTCTCACTCTCACTCTCACTCTCACTCTCACTCTCACTGTCTCTCTCTCTCTCTCATCTCTCTCTCTCTCATCTCTCTCTCATCTCTCTCATCTCTCCCTCGTCTCTTTCTCATCTCTCTCTCATCTCTCTCTCCTCTCTCTCTCTCTCTCTCCTCTCTGTCTCTCGTCTTTCCGTCTCTCTTCTCTCTCTTCTCTCGCAGGAGGATCCGGGCAAAGAGCCACATATAAAGGACTCTTCACCTGGAATCGTTTGCCCCGCCCAACTTGTGCAAGGCGTCCTGCCTTCTGCTACTCCGTGCGACTGCCTCCAAAAAGAGCGCCGTGTTTTTTCCTACCTCGCTGCCCTCCACTTTCCCATTCTGGAGCGCTAGCTTTCGCCCCCCCCCTTGGCCTCAAGTCCTGGAGCATTCGTCCTCTTTTTGGTCACCTACAGGCTTCGAGTCCAATGAAACACCCTGCTCGAGTCACCGCGAGAAGTGGAGGCCGTCACCGCGCTGCCCTCGGCAGGCAGCGTCACCGCCACCACGGGCAACTTCGACTCGCCGGCGGGCCACCGGGGCAACAACACACCGGCGAAGGTCATCATGGAGGCCGAGTGGCACGAAGAAACAATGAAAAGCATTGAAAAGTCCCGTGCTGCGGCGACGGTTCGGATCATTAGGGAGGTGATGTGGAAGACACACAAACAAGTTTGGTGGTGAATGGAGAGGCCCAAAGGATCCCAAAGGCCGGGGTGTTTCTGGGGGGGGCATGTAGGATGTAATTGCAAAGCAGTTGAAACTTGTGGCAGAAAGCCTGCTGATGTTATCCACGCAATTCTTTGACTGCGTGATTTGGCCCCAAAGAACCCACTCTGAGGCCGGTATTGGCCATTCTGTCCAATGTCAGTGCAGTGTACTCAATACATTTGAGGTGATGCAAGCTGATATAACAACTATAATTAACATTAATTAACTATATATGTTTTTTGAATAATACTTAATTTTCCCCGTGTCTACTTAGTAGTGACCCTTAGCACGAACCACTCAATTCTGGAATTCTGCTTGGGAAGAAGTCGGACTCCGATGCTGCTTACACTCTACTAGTATAGCCAAGCTATAGAAGCTACTAGGTTGGAGGCCATTGCTATTAGGTTGGAGGCCATTACTACTAGTAGCAAGAAACTACTGGTAGCAAAGGGCATCGCTACTGGGAGCAAGAAGCTACTAGTGAATCCAGGCACCACAGCACCGGCGCCGCCATTCGCAGGTCTTCCTTGCGAAAGAAGGCTCCAAACGGCCGAACGCTGGAACAGCCGATGGGGATGGGCTGAACGGAATGGGCAACGTGTTGCAATGGGGAAGGCCGCAATTGGTCGCAAAAGACCCATTCAAATTGGAGGTATATATCATCATTTGTCTTGTTGGGTCTAGGAGAGGGGCGGAGGGGAGGGTCTAAGATCATCAAAAGCGGCTGCAGCAACGGGTCGGTACTACGTGCGTGCGCCTGCCACTGCACGGGGGATTTTACCCCACACCTTGCGACGTGGGGCTGGCAGCCTTGTTGCGAGCAGCCTGGTGGGTTTGATCGCCAGGCAATGTGAAAGAAACAAGAAGCTACTAGCAACAAGAAGCTACTAGGTGGAGGCCATCGCTGCTAGTAACAAGAAGCTACTAGTAAGTGTTTGCCGTTTGACTCAATTTCCTAGCAGGCAATGTGCACAAGCAGATCTTCGGCAGCAAGAGGTTGGCACAGTTTCGAGCCATGAAGGACCCGGCGGAGGGAGTGTCGCTCGAACCCGGAAAGTGTCGCGCCGAAGGGAGTGGTTCTCAGCAGAACCCGTAGATTAGAGCTGTTTAGTGAAACACGTGGGGAATCATGTTGTATCATCCAGGTCCTCTTTGGGGGTTGGTAAGGAGCACATCGTTTGGTAAGGGAACGCTGGATGCGACCCTAAAACGCCTCGGCAGGACTCTCAAGTCACAAGTCACCGAAGTCACAAGTCACCGGAGGATATATTTTAATCTACTGTACTATTTTGTGTAGACTATTGATTTGTAACGTTTATAACCCCCCTCCATTTGGATCCATTTGGATGGCAAAACCTCATAAAACCTTTTTGTATTGCGGGGGTTGCTCATCAAGAGTCTACTGAGTTGCTGGATTCTGTCCAAATGGTTTTAATGAAGTATTCTATGTTAACCATCCCAATTTCCCGCAAGAAATGGTGCGCACTCCAATGCTCTCCACGATTCTGGCAGGAAATCCTCCTCGCTGGCGATACTAATCGGCTCGTCGCGGAGCTGACCTTTGTTACTTGATCGAATCCCAGCGGGATTGCTAATGTAGACTCTTGATTGCCTAAGCCCCCGAAACGAAAAGCCAATCTAATTGGTGGGGGGTTATAGATCAACAGATATCAATAGTCTACATTAGGCAGTGCGAACAGGAATCTCCATGGTCAAGCGGATTCCGGCACATTCCCTTACATTCTCATACCCGAATCCTGGGACCGTGGTCGGAGCTGTTTGGCACCCACCGCTGTTTTCCGAGACTGTGTGACACCCGATCTTGGAAAAAAACAGGCTTAATGAACGGACATGTGACAAATCCATTGAGTCGTACGAGAGCACTTTAGAAACATCGCGACATGTCCTGTTCAATTAGCTAATTCTATGATACAGGATATGTCTTTGATTGTTTTGTTTAATGTTTTTTGTTGGGATATTTTGGGTACCCATGTCATGTTCGGATGTTCGGGTATTTGTTCGGTGATTCGGCGAGCTGGGGACCGGGGCGACACCCAAGAGCTTCACCACGCTTTTTCCACGCTCTAAAATCTATTTTACAGCAGACGAGACGTAGACACCAGGCATTCTAGCATGGACAGGGGATGAAACGGGCAGTTAGAAACGCAAAGGGGCTACCAGGTGCCACCAGGGCGATTGAATTGAGCCAATGAGTAAGAACCAGGCATTCTATAGCACTTTCATCGTGCCAGTAGTCTCGAGCCGAGTCGTCTCAAGTCTGGAGACGTTAGATGTCTCTTCGGCGGAGCATGCGATGCGTCCCATGCTTTTCAAAGGAATAAAGGATCCTTCCAATTGAAGAGCATGCGACTGGGTGAATCACCCCGGCGCGCAGCCGTGACGGTCGAAACGAAAGATAACCCTTCAATGGAGCAATTGAGCCAGACGGGTCCATGCCCCTCATATAGACCCCCAAATAGATAGAAAAGTAGATCACCGCTAAGAATGTCTTGGACACCATTTCTGTTTTCTATCTACTTGGGGACCTGAGAGAATCCATATCTTGGCCCAGAGACAGGTGCCCGTGACGTCTCTGCACAATATCCAGGTTCGGATCAACGACCTGGCGTCGCCACCGGAGGCGGGACAACCGAGTGACGGACACCGACGAACCATCGGTATTCATTGGGGTCCACAATGGTATGCTGAGTGCATAGGTTCAATGATGTTCAAGGAATTCAAGTTGAGTAGCGCCCCCAAATTGGAAGTATGACTCCAACGGTTGCAATGTCATTAATTATGCAAAGAGTACCTACCTGTCGGCAAACGATTCTACCCAGCAGACCGCGAATACAGCCACCAAACCAGGGCAGACAGCATCTCACCACAAACTCACGTCAAATTGGCCCAGCCTTGGATTCGAAAGAAGCTCCTCGATTGGCAGAAGGAAAAGTACCCACATGGCATCCCCGAATGGTGGACAGCAAATGAAGACACATCGTTGGGAGAAAAATCGGAATACAACCTCGAGCACAACGGCAAGATCATGTTCAAGCCCCAGGTTCCATTGTGGGACCGCGTGAAAGGTATTCCAATGAGAACAGCAATGATGGTACTCAAAGAGACGTTCTCCTACAAATAATGTTCACCAATGTGGGCCGAAAACAGCATCAAGCAGAAAGGCAACTACCTGATCTGGATAACATTCAATCTCACCCAGGGAGTCGCAAAACTTCGCATCGACCACTCCATTCCCTTCGAGATGTTTGTGACCGCCTTCCAGGTCAAGTTTCTCAACGGTCCCGCCGCCGGAAAAGGAAGAGGGAAAAGAGACAGGAAAGGACGCGGAAAAGGAAAGGAATCACAGGAGCCTGCAACAGAGGAGGGCCGTTCAGACTACCCTTTTACCTTTCAGTTCCACCAGGTGACCGACTGGGCGAGGGAGTATGAGAACTACAAGAGGGAAGCTCGCAGTGAGGCGATAGAGTAGGGCAAGTCGGGGGTCTCGGGGGGAAGGCGATGTTCAGAACAAAATCTCACCAATCACAAGTCCCAAAGCCCAGGCACAAAGACAAACGCATATCAACTGGAGACTCATAAGACACAGCGGCGCCACAAGCCAAAACCGATGAGGCACAAAGTGCCATCAAGGCTGATGCCTTTACAGAGTAATTACCACGAAGCCTCCGTTCCGTCAAAGCGAGTACAACTAAGAGCCAAAGACCGGCATTTTGTGCCAACAAGGCAGTCTCTGCCTTTACACAGTAATTACCAAGAAGTCGTTAGAAAGAACAGCTATAAAAGGGAAAACCGCTTCAGGCACATCATTCCAAACACATCTACCCTGGAGACCTCCCCCCAATCTGGGAATGCGGGAAAGCCACGCCGCAAGCGGAAGTGGCAACCAAAGGTCGCCCGAACCAAGTCTTCCCAGAATATGAACACAGGTAGAACTGCAAACTCTAAAGAATCTAAAGAACATAACGCACAAAAAGCAAACAACCAACAAGTTGACAAACCGAAGAGAAAACAAAGGAGATCTGAAATTGCCAGATTGATACGTACATGTAATAGAGCGCAAAAACGCGCTGAGGCCAGACGTTTGTATAGAATGGTAAGGAAGTGCTGTACTGTTCAGGCCCCCCAGAGCAGCACTTATCATGGGGCCCAAGAAGGCACAACAGACAGACACACAGACCAAACCGATCATGGCAAGCACACCAAGACAGGTTCACTGATCATGACAGGCACTGTTTAATTGCAAAGGTGCAAATCACACATCAGCACGGGAAAGGATAGTGTACATGATGAAAAACATAAGATGGATCTCCTATTCTTACAGGAAACGCATATCAACACAAACACAGAAGAAGTCCATGACGACTACATTTTCAATTTCTCCACCTCGATCACTGACCAACAACGCGAAGATGCGACAAAAGCTCGAGAGCAAGCACGGCAAAGCAAGGGAAGAGGAAAAAACAATGGCAACAATGCGCTCGCTCTATACAACCTCGATGCTGAAAAACTGGGAACAGCTGTAGTCTATACCCATGAAGTCAACCAAGTCAAAGTAGATTTAGTCCAACATGACAACAGAAATATCACACTCTCTCTACGTAGCAAGGGAGGCCGGCTAAATATCACAGGAACACATGCCCCTCATGCTGCAAAACCACAGCAAGACAAAGAAAGCTATTACAAATTCCTCCGTAGCATTGCCAGAACATTTGGTAAACACAATCAACACATAATAGTGGGATATTTTAATACCAAACTCTTGCGACGCCTTCCAGAAGAAAGTGAGCATATAGGCCCATGGATTTTCAACGAGAACGAGCTAGATATAGGAGACCTACCTGGCCCCCAGCTTGAAAACCGCGACATGTTCACTGAATTCCGCCTAGAAGAAGACTATGTCGTGGCTTCGACGTGGTTCCAAAAATAAACTCAAGAGCTTATCACTTTTAGATATCCAACAGCCAAGACTTTTGACCCCCCACTGACTCACACCAAATTCGCACAACTGGATTATATACTGATTAAAAAGCAGTTGCGAAACGCTCTACGCAACATTGATACAACGCCACACACAAGTATTGAATCCGATCACAAGCTGCTAACGGGAACGATCCAAATTAAACTGGCAACGAAAAGCACGCATACAGCCCCACAAATCCCAAAATATCGGACCCCCACTTCCGCGCAAAGAGTTCAATACAATGCGTACATTCACTTAAAGATCAATTCAGAACGCATCACTAATCGACAGGGACCTCTCTCTCTACTGGCTCAAGTTTTACAGGAATCGGCAAAGAAGAACCTGACCCAGATACCCCCTGCCCAAAAGAAACCCTTTCTCTCAGACGAAACCTGGGACCTATTGGAATCACGTCAAAGAGCAGAAGAGTCTGGCGACGTAATGTTGGCAAAAGACCTCTCCAATAAGATCAAAACGGCCGTTCGAAAAGACAAAGCTACCCACCAACTGCAGCAACTAGAAGAAATCGAAGGAAATATATACATATATGGACCGAATTAAAAAGAATGAGAGCACGACCGACTCTGAAATTCACTAAGCTTAAAGACAATCAAGAACGAAGAATTACCAGCGCGCAATCCCCCAGAAGGCCGCTGAATATCTAGCAAGTGAACAGTGGAAGATCGACGAAGTAAACCTTCCCCCCTCAAAAGCAAACCCCTCGTGCCTCACGCAAGGCCGTTCCCCATCAACGATGGCCACTTCACGCTGCAAGAACTGGACAAAGTACTTGAAAAACAAAGCAATAACAAATCGCCTGCTACAGATCTACTACGTGCTGAATTGGCCAAATATTTGGACTCCAGAAACAGATCCTATTTTCTTCACTGTATCAACGAGATATTAGACAAGGGTAAACTCGAACATACTCGAACCATCACTACACGAAGCACGAATAGTCTCAATATATAAGAAGGGGGACTCGAGTAAACTTAAAAACTACAGACCAATTTCCCTTTTACAAACTTTCTATAAGATCATTGCGGCCCTCACGCCTCTCCGACGGGCTAGACAAATGGATCATGGACACGCAATATGGCTTCAGAGCAGGCAGGAGCACAAGTCACGCAATCTTCCTCGCAAGGAGGCTGCAGAGTATGGCCGAAATTAGCGGGAAGAATCTGGCGATTAATCTCTTGGATTGGGAGAGAGCTTTTGATAAAGTCCACCAAACACGACTGCTTGAATCCCTCGGTAGGGTAGAAGTTCCCCCTAAATTATTGGCATTAATTGGCAACATTTATGAAAGTCCCCAATTCCAAGTTTCCTGCACTGAAGGAGAATCAAGCTGGTTTACACAAAACTCAGGCATAAGACAGGGGTGTCCCTTGTCCCCTTATCTCTTCATCATACTCATGTCCACGATGTTCTCCGACATAAAGGCAAGGCTGTCCACGCCCAAACAGAAAGAACCCCTTGAAGGAATAACTTTTGCAGAAATACTCTACGCTGACGACACTCTGATTTTTGGCGACCACACGCCTTCGATAAATAGACTGCTCAAAGAAATACAAGTGGAATCCTCCTACTATACAACATGAAACTCAACTACGGAAAGTGTATTAACTTGACAACGAACAGAAAGACGTCAACAATTAAATATCTAGATGGAACTAAGGTCCCACGAGACAGTCGTGCAGTATACATAGGATCGTTATTGACAGATACGGTGAGTAACACAGCAGAAATAAACAACAGAATTGCCATGACCATGAAAACTTTCAGACAACTCAAGATCTTCTGGGACAAGGCGAATACCACTACAAATTGGAAACTGCGTGTGTTCAAAGCAATCATACAATCAAAACTTATGTACAGCCTGGAAGTGATCCAACTCACTCAAAATGAGCTAAACAAACTAGATGCTTTTCAGATGAAGGGACTGAGAAGAATTCGCAAAATACCATCGACTTTCATAGATAGAACGCAAACCAACCAAGTCGTACTGCAAACAACAAACACGCATGGAGTGTATGTTCAAAAACTCAGACTTTTGGAGGCAGAGGAAGATAAGTCTATTAGGCCACATTCTCCGAGCAGATGCAAACGATCCTCTCCGACAGGTCATTTTTGAAAACCAAACTTGCATCCCAAGAAAACCACCATTTCGAAGGCAGGGGAGGCCGAGAGTGGACGGCTAACTGAAACGGTGAAAGACACTTTTCATTGTCTCGGGCACAGCCCGCCCCAAGAGCCAAGCCTCCAAGACATACGAATGCTCCAAAATGCCGCCAGGAACCGAGCATATCCATTTTGAGAAAAACAAGAATCAATCATTCTCTGAAAAGAACGGGCTTACACAGTAATTACACTGCAATGGACAAATGCCTTTCCCCGAGCTTCGTGTCACCTCATACTATGTCAATTGTTTGAACCCGAACAAGGAAACGCTTGTAGTGCCGCGCTCCGGCAAACTCCTTGCTTGGCGCTAGGTAAAAAAGTACCTACATGCATATATATAATATATAGCATCTACTTGGGCGCCACTGTATATCAACTATGGGTCAGAGCAGCTCATACTTTGTACCAACGATGCCAACATTATGTTGGGCTACAGGCAACAGGCAGGCTTTGGTATTCGCGCTATCCAAATCAAGGAGATGTTTGTTTGCAGAGAGGTGAACTCCAGTAACAAAAGTTATACAATGCCTTTTAACATGTCAAAAAACGTCAATGAAGCATTTTTCCACAACATTTTGATTGTTGCTTAGTCTCCTAACTCTACATAGAACTTGGTGGATGTGTTGCTCGGTAATTGTTGGGCCAACCAAGCAATTTTGCTGCACTCAGCTCGACAAATTTCCTGGACACTTTCCACGACACGTGCCTGAGGAGAGTTACCCAAAACAGTGGTATCTACCTAGAAAGGCAACACATGAAAACTGGAGAACCAAAGACGCATACGGGACAAACAGTCAATAAAGTGTCCATGCCACAGCCCTACGGTCGAAAGGCATCTGAACGAGGACATAAAGAAAAGACCTGAAAAGACAAAAGACACGAGCAGCACAATGCAGTACAGTAGATGATTCTCACGAGCGGCTTGGTCAGGAACCGGGTGATGGCCTTGGGCCCAATGGTATTCTGTAGGAAAAACGGAAGACACAAACAGGAGACAAGGGAGAAAGGCCTAAGGGAGAAAAGAAAATACACATAAAGGCGTGACGAAAGTGGAACCTCAAAAAATGTAAGTTACATTGTTGGCGGCCTCTAGAACAGTGGTATGCACCTAGAAACCGAAAGACAACAAATGAAAACTAGAGAGCTAAAGATGCATGCTGCATAAGGGAAGAAATTAGCAAGAAGGAAAGAAAAGAAACGCGGCAAACCACAAATGGACAAAGGGACAAATTTGGAAAACAAAAGGTGTTTAATCAAAAACAAACTACGGTCTTCAAGGAGCTTTTAAAGAATTGGATGCAATCATCCAGGTTTCAGACCTTTTAAGAGAACAAAGTCTAGCAAGCAAAATAGACACTTGGTTTCTCCCTGTTTTTTTTGGACGTTGTTTGCTTTTGTTTGCCTGTACAGCGTAGCACAAATGCAAACTGCAGCAGCAGCCACTGTGGCCAGGACGTGCCAAAATGTAAGTTACATGTTCCAAACCTGTTACCTACATAACTTACTGTAACTTTCATTTTCCATCAAAGGACCTTCAAAAATGTAGCTTACATTTTCCTAGGTCCCCACCCTCACTAGGGGGTACGGATGTTGCGCTATGTTGCGCTTATCACATATCCACATATCCAACATAGAAGCGTTCCTTGGTGTGCTTGGAAAGCTTTCGACCTTCGAACATTGATCACTGCCTCCTTTCAGCCCCCTGCCGGGTGTTGCGACTAGGCAGTGGATCCCTTAGTCTACATCGAGCCACTCGTGGCGCTTCTGATCATCGGGAATGGGATCATGATCGGTTTGCAGACAGCACCTCGGACGCCAAACGACATGGACGAACACCCATGGACGACATGGGTGTTTCAGCGAAGTGGATGCTGGACAACTTCTTTTTTTTAAGCTCAGAGTCGGAGTCGGCAATTGGACTTCAACTTATGACAGCGCGGTGTCTTTAAGTATAGGGACTGTCAACGCTTGAAAAGCCTCAGAATTGTATTGTTGGGGATTGACTGAGCTAGATACTTGGTCTTAGGGATATGGACTGCACTCAAAAAGCCCTACTCAAAAATTTTAGATAAACGTAAACTTTTAGGGTTGGAGATGAGTTTTAAGTCTTCGTTTAGAAGCGGGCCCCCGGCAGACTATGGTGATACAGCAAGGCAGCGCTAGATTGGCGCTAGGTTGGCGCTAGGTTTCTTCATAACAGGATAAGCAAAGAAGAAACCAGCAGAGAGCAGGAAAAAGAAGAAGCACCACAAGAAAAAGGAAAAAGAAAGAAGAAGAAGAAGAATGCACAACAAGAAGAAGACAAGCAAGCAGGAAAACTAAGAACCTGACAGGATGAAGAAATCGACGGATATTTTTGCGCTAGGCTGGCGCTAGATCCGCGCTAGCACCGCGCTAGACGACGGTCCATTTCTTGACCATCTGCCCACCCAACACCTGAATGTTTTGAGTCAGCTCTTACGTCCTTCCTATGTCGTTCTGAAGACTTCTGAGAATTGGAAACAACGGCAGAAGTCTAGCAGCAGCAGCAACAACAACAACAGCTCCAGCAGCTCAACAGGCCCCTGAAAAGGTCCGCGCTAGACACCTCTCACAATTTTTGCAGCTGACATGCCTTCATATTGAACATCCCTGTGGTTTGAGTGTGGTTGGAGTTTAAAGGAGGTTTAGAAGCGGGCCCCATGGAATTGCGATGAGTGCACCATTTTGGGAAAAGACATTTTGGAAACCAACCATATGTAGACCACAATCCGGTCAAGGGATACAACTAATGCCCAAATAGTCATATGCATCGGTCCTTTTGGTGCATCTTGTGAGGAGCTGGAAGCAGTCAAGGCTGCTACTAGTCAGTCAACCCATGGGAGTGGCTGGGAGCCACCGATTCAGCTGTTTTCTATGTGGGCTGAACATCGCCATCAAGAAGGCAAACAGATTGAACACATATTTAGTTTAAACATATAAAGCCTTAAAGGATTTGGACAAAAATAAGTTTTGTCACAACCAAAATGCAAACATGATGATTTCCTGAAGTATGAAATATTTTGAAATCAGGAAGCCAAAGGTTGAGACATGTCAAAGCACGCATATATATATATATATATTTATATCACAAAAACCTTTGGCCACGTAACAATACGAACACAAACACCCCCCCAAACAAAAACACACACACACATAAGAACAGTGTTTGGTTTTAAGGATTGTTTTTGCAACAAATGCCTACAGCAGCTGTACTAAAACCACAAGCTTTATTTTAACAAATATAAATAAACAGTTGATTCTTGTGTTTCTATGTATGTTTAATATTGTTTAATTTGTGTTTGCAGCAAGTTGCTTTTGCCCACGAGGATCACAGTTGTACTTTGTATGTTGTTCATACTCTGGTTCTATGATTGTGCATAGTTGGTTCACATGTTTTGTTGTACTGTAGTGTTCTTGTTCAAATTAAGTAGATCAAAACAAACAGCAAAGCTTGAGGATCAACTTCAATTGTCTCAATACTACATCCTGTCTATCTCCAGTCAGGGTTTTTATTGAAATAGCACAGGTAGAAGAGCGCAGCATCCAACAGAGACTCCTCAAACACAAGGTGTTCTTTTCATGTTTTCCCCGGCGTGACCACAAAGCGAAAAGAATGCCTTAGTTCATATGTGGCTACGGATCAGATGATCAAGACTGCCCCAACCCTCGAAACCTCCAGTTCCTCGCAGTCCTTGGGCCAATCGTTGCAGCTAAGGATCCTGCCAATGTCGACTGGGATGGCTGGCTTGCATTCGAGATCACCTTTGCCGTCGCTCCTCGACCAAGACCCACAAGGTATGATCACAGAGATCTGTGGGAGATCCGAGTAACACGGGGGTTTCAAAACCCAAGCATTTCCGATGAGATGTGCATCCGTGAGATCTCCAGCTGCCGTCCTTTGTTTTGAGATGCGCAGAAAGGAGGGAACAGGTTCCAACCTTGCTGGACACTTTATTTGTCGGCCGGGATTGGGTAAACGAAGGTGACCTCCCAACTAATGACACTCCTTGGTACAGGTCATTTGCTTGGAGTGTTCATTTGCAGCTTGCTCACTGTCTGGAATCGCCATGTTGGAGTGTTTGAGCTTCGCTGCTGTCCCCCGACTGGTGCTGCAGCTGCAGCTGGGGAAACGATACTTAAATCTTCCATAATGCCATAAGGTATCATAAGTGCGTTTTTTTAATAAGAGACCACGCCAAAAAACACTGCTCTGAAAGTGACAGACCAATTGCAGTGCCGGTTGTTCTACCAATTTCCTGGAAGTGTGAGTAGTTAGATGATGTTGGATGGTTTTTTTGTCTCAAGTCTCAAGGTGTTGTGGGTGGAGATCATATTTCGGATCCGGATGCTGCGGTGCTTTGACTACTGGTGCGGCACAGAGCGCTACTGGTCGCTTGGCCCATTCTGTTGGGTTCTGGTGTTCCTAGCCGTTGCATGGCCTTGACACAGATTGCACCGGTGATTTTTTGTGATTCTTGTAGCAGCTCGGCGGATTTGGGGGAACATCCCGCAAATCCATCAACCTGGCTGAGCGCAAACTAAGGAATTGGTTTGATTTGCTCTTAGGCGTGACGGGTGTTGCAGACATCTTGCTGCAGTGCTTGGGCAAGCGCTTGGAAGTCGGCCCAGCTGGTGGCAAACCTTTGACCTCGAGTGGTTTTCTATAGTTTTCTACCCAAACATGTGGAAGAAGGTTTGTTAAGGGCAACCTGAAGGTGTTTGTGAATACCTCGCCCCCTTTTAGCCAACGATTGAGGGACCCTAAGGTATGATTGCCCCAAAATCATTGCCCGGGAGTCTGGCCTGTGAATCGTTCTTGAAAGGAAGCACCAGGAAGAGAAAAGAGATTCCTTTTGTTGACTTGCTTTCTATGAAATAGGGAGCAAACAGGAAATGAAAGTCATTTCCGTCCATTGCCATTTCGAATTGCTTCGGTTTTCAGCCAGAATCCAAAGGGCAGCAATGGGGAAAGACAAACAGAGGTTCAGTGGGGAGTTGAGTGCAACCGGAAAAAGTTGTTCAGACCATTCCCTGGTTTTGCTTAATGTGATTTTGTATTTTCCAATTGTTAAATCCCCTTCTGGGGAAGTTTTAGATTCTTTCCAGGTTCCTTAAGCAAATCCAAGATTCCGACCACACAATTTGTATTTTTCATAATCATATTGTAGAGTTACATAGAATTACACATTGTTGCTCAGTATAAACAAATCATTGTCACTCATTCCCAGGGTGCTCGTGGACTGCCTTGTTGCAACGGGAACATTTTTTGGAGCAATGGTTTGGATGAGTTTGAATTAGTGTGTTTAAATGAAGGTCTTCACGTTCGAGGATTCAAGCCAAACCTAAAGAGTTGAGGCATTCAGAGGTTACGACTTGTTACGACACCATAATTATACCAATCCTTAGGAAATTATTTGGAGGTGGGAGTCACTTAGTGAAATATTTTCCAAATAATTATATAACTAAAGGTATTATTTGGCAAGCCATGTAGGTGGGTTTTTCACTAAACCAGTCTAGGTTGTGCAAAATAATGTTCATACGATAGATACTATTTCTAAATAATTTTGAGTCTATGACCACCCAATAAATAGTTTTGAGTATATGAGGACCCACCTGTTTGGCTGACAGAGCAGCAGCTTGGAAACAAACACCTCAGAGTTACAGCCTTTGGGCACAATGCTTTGTGGGTTTACTGCTGGATCAAAGCTAGAAAGACAAAATCTGTTTCATAAAAATGGCGGGGCACACTTGGTCCAATGCTTTGGAAGGCATCGAATCAAAGTCCACAGGCGGAGAATGTTTGTGAGTCGAGGACACCTGCCATCTCAATAGGAGGACATTGAGGAAAAGGATAATAATTTTGACCAACAGACATGTACAGATAGATAGTTGGAAACAGGCAGAAAGGTGGAAGAAAAGACACATGGCCACCAAATCCAATATAACTAAATTTTTTTGAGAGGGTGGGTGACTACGCAACCACCCATTAAATGGGCTTCAATCACAGGAAACTAGGTGGAAAAGGACAGGGTACAACCTCATACAATCTATATTGAAACTTATTTGAGGGGGTGGGTGACTATGCAACCACCCATCAAATGGCGCCAACGGGAGAAAAAGGTAGAAAAGGACAGAACAAACAGCAAGGAAACAGTGGAAGAGGAAAAGAGACTGGAACAATTGTGCAAATCCGCTGGGTTTTTGAAGATTTGTTTAAAAATAGCCAGGAAGAACCGGCATAAACAAACATCAGCGGCTTAGGAGTTCGTGTTAGCCACGTAGAGCCGGGACGGTGGGACTATAGCAAGCAGCAGCAGCCCCAATAATAAATGATTTGAAGGGTGGTTGACTACTCAACTACCCATTATGACACTGTCCGTGGTAATCCGAGCTGGGTCAAATTTGGTCAACTTAGGGGGGTGGTTCCCACCTAGATGGTCTCATGTCGGATCTATGTTGTCTTGAAATTATTTTGTCAGACCCTGAGAGTCCAGAAATAATTTGATACGGATATCTCCACCCACCTCAAAATAATAGACTATTATTTTGAGGTGGGTGCTACGGAGGGTGGGCCCATTCGGAATGATCTATACCACACACCCGACCGCATCTTCACAGCGACGCGAGCGACGCGAGCGAGGCGAGGGGCACGGGGCACGTTCGCGACGCCACCGAGGATCGTCTCCAACAATGAGGTCGAAATTGGGGGCGCCGGACTCCTCAGATTCTGCCGTGCCTCAGATTGAAATCGAGCCGCGAGTGCATAGAGATGCTGGGAGAGGTTGAGTCGGATTGGTCGACCAGTTGGCTTAAAAAGGACATCGTCGGCTTAGAAACCTCATGAAACCTCTGACTCTCCCAAGCCCTCAAAGGCAGATTATGCGATTCTATTTTGGGCAAATCATCCCCAGAAGAGGCGATCCCTGCAAGATGCAAAGGAAAGGTTGTCCCACTGTTTTCTGGGAGGATCCCTCAGTGGTTGGACGTTGTCACTTCTCTACTGGATCCCATTCCCAAGGACTTGTGTCATTTTGGCTCATTCCACCTCAGATATCACATTTGCCGAAACCCTTTCAGGTGAGTGAGTCGGCAGTTTGGTGGCGAAAGCTTTCGAAAACACCGCAAACGCTTGCGGGTGACATCGCCCAGCAGTTCAGGATCACTCCATTTCACCCACGTAATACGTCAATAAAAAGGTACCCTACCACCAGTTCGGCTTTACCATCATTTGGCCCACACAAGGACACCTAATTAGACTCAATGATGCGCCACCACATCGGAGATCGATGCTCTCCCTCGACCCTGAGGATTGATCCGACTGGTGCGCATTGTAAAGGTTTTCAGGATCAAAATGCTGAAGGCCTCCCCACTGGGCCGTCGGCGCCGTTGCAGGGTCAATCGCGCGGCCGTTGCAGCGGTTGTATGGGTCTCATACAGATGCAGAACGCTTTTACATGTTTTTACGTAGAAAACCGTTTTCAAGAAAATTCCAAACGGGGCCTGTCTATGGGTGCCTATGAAAGACGTGCGTTGCTTTCGGAAAGAGATTGCCTTTTGGGTTCCACTGATTTGTTGGACATAATGCCACGGAGCATGATCCATTTAGAATGCTTTTGGTTTCATTATCCTGTGATTGGAAAACTGCTTGTGATATGTGCCCTGCTGGGGTCACTGCTTGATGGCCGAAGGAAGCTTTCATGGCCTGCAGACAAGACATAGATCTTTCTGGTCAAGATCATGCTTGCCCCCTCACATGAGCATGCCCAAATCTTGGCTTTCCAGCCGTAAGCCGGGCCCTTTGCGGTTCAGGGGAGCCTGCCCCTTGCGGTTGTCCCAGGATTTGCGCCTGATGATCAAAGGCCTGGTTGCAGGCATCAAAACATTAAGTTTGGCCTTCATGTTGCTTTTTGTGCCTCGCCATGCGAAGGGCACGTTGCGTGCCAGGGTCAATCCGTGGCTCCCCAGAGGGCCGTGGCGGTGTCTCCCTTCTTGCAGGTACTATACTCAAAGTGTGGTGTATCACTTGTTTGACTACTTGTTTGTATAGGCTCCGCAGGCGTATGTTCAGCTTCGACTGGCTGAGGGGAGGCTAAAGATGTAGACAGGTACGAACCAACATTTACTGTAGGGACAAAGGTTGCAAGTCCAACCTGGCTTCGAAGCAGGTGATCCAGGATCTTAGACAAGGTGGTTTGTGGAAGGGTGGTTCGGTGCTACTGAATGCAGACTGTAAACAACTCGTCTCATGCAATTCCATTACATCACGTATTGTTGATTCTACTGTCCATAATTTTTATAATATATATACCCTGGGTGTCTAAGACTGTTTTTAAAACCGTCCTGCACGAGAGACTGTTTTTATCCAACAACGGCTTTTCAGGGGCTGTCATCTTCGATGATTTCTCAGGCTCGAATGAGCAACGGCCATGGTCATATGGTTTCAACATGGCACGGTGAGATCACGCATGCCCCAACAACAAATCGACAAGTCATCTTACTTAAGATCCCGATATTGTAATTTATTGATTGCTCAATTTACCTTCTTGGGTGTCCATGGCTGGTGAACTGGCTGGCGATGAGCTCAGTTCCTGCTGGCTCCGGCTTGGGGTGCCTTGGGTTGCATCCAGTGGTCATGGCGGCTGGCATCTGTCATCATCATCATCCGCATCATCATCATATTTTTTGAACTGCTGAAATCCAAGGATTTTGGGATTGGGATGGCATGAAGATCAAAAAAGCCTTGCTCAGAAGATGCATCCTCAGAATTTTATCGGGAACGTGCTTTGTTGAGTACAATTGCAACAGTGGTTGAACGGTTTACCATATTTACCATGGAATGCATGTGATGGAATACCTCGTGATCTCAGGATTGGCCACGGATAATAACCTACTGGAGCCCCATCCGCCAGAAGGTGCCTGCATCCTCCCTGTTCTTGTGAGCTGTGTTGATGGAAGTTCGAATCAAAGCACAAATTTTTGCTTGGTGCGCTAAAAGATCGGGGTCAAGCGGTTTCAAGTGACTAAAAACGCAGGGTGATATCATATCATCATAATCTCTTGTGCAGGACAGTCCCCTGTTTCTCCAACTTCCGCACCCCTGCCGCTTTTTCAACCCATGGCGGCCACGAGTGCAAGTGAAGACCGCATCGCTCTCCTCAAGGTGGCTGGGCAGCAGTGTCCGGAATGTGGAATGTTCAGGTTCTTGTCAAGACGGCTCATTTTTTTCTATCGCGGTAGTTTCCCACCTAGGAATTCTACAAGGAGATGCTTGATTTTGAGGACTACATCCCATCTAGGAGGAAGCTCTTACGGCAAAGGGCTGGTCTCCGGGCAAAGGATCAATCTGCAACCCGGCTACCCACAAAAGATTTCAAGAGTGTTTGCACTACACTTGTTTTTTCGGTTTGAGCTTTGATCTCAGTCTCCACATTGTGAATGGTGAACAAGAATTCTTGTTTTGAGGTCCCTGTGTTCTCCTTTGTCACCCGCTTCGCAAAAGGGGACAACATAATTGAGATGGAGGCTCATCGAAGCAACTTCACAGTTGTGACTTTTGAGTTTTAACGCACTCGATGTTTCCAAAAGTTTAATAGCACCGAAACCCAGAGTTGGCTAAAACCAGCACTATAGTAGCCTCGTAGGTGGAGCAGAAAGAAAATTTGGAGTTCCTTGTGGAGTACCTCGCTCAATTCTGCGAGCGGCTGCCGTCAGATTTGGAATGTGAGGACATGGGTGTTGGGCTGAATTTGTGCCTAAACTCAAAATCCATTCCCAATCACTGTGCACACAGGTTCTAGAGTTTGTCCTTCCCGGCTGGTGTGGCAGGAAGCCTTAACTTGGACCAGCCAGACTTTTGGGCTGAACCCGCATTTTTCTACGGAGTCGGAGCACCGTGCTACTCAACTTAATTCATTCAACTATGGACAACCCAGCCTGAGAATTCATCGAAGATCACAACCCCTGAAAACGTGAAAAACCGTTGTTGGACAGAAACAGTCTCTCGTGCAGGACGGTTTAGTTTTAAAACAATCTCAGACACTGAGGGTTGTGCATGTTAAAACATGTTGCAAATGACTTTCTGTTCAAGGCTTGGGCTAGTGTGGAAAGCGGGGTGCAAAGGGCAATGGCGTCCTACTGTATGACAAGATTTCAAAAAGCCAGCAAAGCCCGGTGGATTCCTTAGCATGCTTTGAAGATCCCATCATTAGCAATTCAACTAGGTTCTATTTTTGATCCTGAGACAAGCTCTGTGCCGAGGGCTGGACGTGAGGGGATGAAGAAGGTGAAAGATGTGATCCGTGCAAAACTAGAGGCCGGCAAAAATTATCTAAATAATTGTTTGTGAAAGTTTATTTTGTCTTGGGGAATTCTTGGGATGTATGGGCTACAGGCCCACTGGTCACCAGTGTCACCAGCAAGGTTTAAAACACCATATTCATCGATCCATATCGGGCAACCTTTCTCTTGTCAGGCAGTGGGCATGCTGCGAGAGGATGGAAAGAAGAAGGGTAGCCGAGGTCCCAATGTTGGTTACAAGGAGACTTACATGGCACAAACACTTTGTGTTGCATACAGCCTGCCTTGGGCCTTGACACAGATCAGCCCTTGGGGACTCATAGACTTTCAATTTTCTCTATTGTGTGATCCGCCCACATCATTTCTTGCGTCAGGACCAGAAGCAAGACATGGAGATCGACAGCCAATGGCGCCTCGATGAAGAAGAGGAGGAGCCAGATGAGGCAGAAGAGGAACCAGAAGAGGAAGAAGAGCAAGAATTAGAGCAAGAAGAGCCAGAAGAGGAGCAAGAAGGGGCAGAGGATGAGCAAGTGGAGGAGCAGCAAGAAGAACAACCAGAAGGTGAGGAAGAACAGAAAAAGGAGGAGGGCGATGTTGAGATGTGCAAAAGGAGCAGCAGCACCAATCCTGACCAAATAGACACACTTCCCATGACTGAATCCCAAATCTTTGATGATGCCGTGAACGCAACTCAGCACTACGAAAGAGTCAATCCACACAGGTTCTGAGGAGGAAGCCAACGATGAAGACAAGGAAAAGATGCAGCCAAACAAGAATGAAGAGAAGACCAATGTGGAGAAGCTTCGAAAGATGAATCATATAGAGCGAAAGACAACAAGGATTGAGGGTGAAGAAATGGAGGGTGGCAAGCAGGAGGCCAAGCCAAAGGAAAATGAAGATGGCCACAAGCCTCAACCAAAGAAAGAGAAGGAGGCAGACACGGGGGTCAGGAAGGAAGAGGCGGAAGAAGTGAAGGAGGAGGTAGAGCATGAAGAAAAGAATGAGAGGGCCCAACGCAAGAAGCATGCAAAGGAGGTGAAAGAAGAGGATGTCGATGAAAAAGAGAAGGCCCTGCCCAAGGAGGATCGCAGCAACTTCAAGAAAAGTTCTGAGGAGGATCAAGAGAAATTGAAGAAGAAGCAGAAGGAGCACACAAAGGACGCGAAGAAGGACAAGGACAAAGAAGTGAAAGAGAATCGATATCCAAAGAAGGAGACAAACGAAAAGGAGGAGGCTGATGAAAAGGAGGTGAAAGACACAGAGCCTGTAGCTACATGTGCAGCTGTCCTGGTCGACTCGGATCAAGAAGAGGATGCAGTCTTCATGGACGACCGAGGGCCACTGATCAAGGATGAGAAGGTCCCAACCAAAGAACAGGAAGAGAAGGCCGACAGCATCATGAAGGAGAAGGCCACAGTGCACAAGGCTTCAAGCTGGACAACCAATGACGACCTTGTGGCAGCGCAAAGGAAGATGAAGAAGATGAAAAAAGAGGCTGAAGAGGGGGAAGGGGATTCAGATGATGATGACGACGACAAGCTGCTTCGTGAGGCAGAAGAGGAGTCGGAGGAAAGAAAAACTAAGGGCCGAGGCCGAGGACGAGGCAAAGGACGAGGAAGAGGCCGCCCAAAGAAAGGGGATGCCAGCACGGAGCCTCCACAAGATGATGAGGAGGAAGAGGGCAGAGCCAAGAAGAAGCAAAAGTGCCAGCGCCAATCACCAAGTCAGGAGACATCAGAGAAAGAGGAGTCAGAGAAGACACAGAAGGCGGAGGAAAAGAAAGTTAATGAAGAGAAGGCAAGGAAGACACAGAAGGTGAAGGAAAAGAAGGCAGAAAAAGGAC